ACCAAAGAAAGTTCAAGTAGCATTGGAGAAAACATTATGTACAGTTTATAGCAGCTTTCAAGAACATGATGATGATTGTGGTAAGTTTAGATCTGGAGGATTAGTTGAAAACGTAATCTTGGTGGAAAATTTGATAGGCTAACTTGTTGTTTCTGAAAATGCATGATATACAAATATAAGTTATAATAAGTTAGATAACTATTTGGATGAAATTAAAAACAAGAAACATAGAATAGCTTTAACTAAATACTGTACATTTCAGCACACTTTATACCTATTGAGACAGGTCGTTACCAGGGTACTGATAGAGATAATAGAGTATGTAATTTATGTAACAACGATGACTTGGTGAATGAAATACATTATATAATGCACTGCAAACATAATGATATTACTCGGCACAGGGATAAGTTCCTTTAATAAATCATTGTATATTTATGCACCCAATCTACAAAATTTATGTATGGAAGATTTGTTTATGCAGATTTTCTCTAGTAATGATAAATTTATCTATACCAACTTAGCTAATTTTGTTTTTCAGATTATGAAATTATTTTAGTTATTTCTTTTTGTTTTGTTTTTTGGACTTTACTCAAGCTCTGTGTTGTGTACGTTCCAAATAAAATATCCTGTATCCTGTACAAGCGTTTATGAATGACTTTTAGGTTTAAAACATTGTGTTCCATAAAAAAAGAAGGGAATTATTGCCAGACTAACTTTTTTTAGTCATTTATGAGAGATGCTGATTTCAAAAATGCATGTTGTATTGATGTTCACAACTGATTTTAGTTAGTTGCCGATATAGCTCAACTTTATGAAGAAGTATGTTCCGTTTCAATAATTCAAATTAATATACCTTTGATTCCTAGTGAGATTGGTGCATTCTTTATTCAAAGAAAGCAAAACTTAAGAAGTTGCTGCTGACCAGTGCTACTGTAAAGATATTAATAATTTTGTTAAAAAAATAGTTTCATGTCTATCTTTTTCTGACCACTGCCAGATATATTATCCACTCAAACACAAATGCAAACTCAGATAAAAACTACAAAATATACTACAGATCTGAGACACCAGCAATCACTATCTACTTATGGAATAACAAATCTAAATTACATTTTAACTGGACTTTACAGAGTAAGAAAAAAGGCAAGCTAATTGATGAATTCAATAAAAAAGACAATTGACAATGCATGTGAAATGATATCAAATGTATACAGTCTGAAAAAAATAATTCAACAAAACAATTCACATGTTAAATCAAACATCGTAACTAAACAAGCCAAATGGTTTTCAAATGAGTATTAAAATTGTCTTCTAATCTGGGAATAGGAATCCTGGCAAAAAAACATTTAAGAATTCAATGCTACAATCTTAAAAGAGACTATGAACACCTAATCAAAAGAACTGAATTCTTTCGAGCAGACTATAACCAAAATCCATATATTGACTTATTAGAATAGAGGTCTAAGACAGTAAATATGCTTGAAAAAATATTTCAGAACTTGAGATACAAAATGAAATAAATAAACAGAAAGTTGGAAAAAGCCCAGGCATGGATGAAATTGAATATTAAATGCTGAAAACAGGCAGATATATTTTAATTAAGCCTTTACAAAATTATTCAATCTCATTTCATCTAGTGGCATGTATCCGAGGAACTGAAATACAGGTATCATTAAACAGTTAACTGTTCACAAAATATCTTAACAACAAGAAATACATTTTTGCATGTTTTATTGACTTGGTTCAGCACCCTGGACTAATGTACAAATGTACAAAGATTGGTATAACAGTACCGGTAACTACCATGTTTACTGTACGCAGATGACCTATTTCTTTTATCTGAAAACAATTCAGGTTTGCAGAATCCATTAAACAGTTGAAATTTACTGCAAAAAAAGAAATTAAGCATTAGTATAAATAAATCAAAAACCATCAGCATAAGTGGCAAACTCATTAAATTTAGATTTTCACATAGATGGTGTTGAATTAGAAAGAGTGTCAACCTACACTTATCTTGGAATTAAATTGAAAACAAATGGTAAATTTGACTTGGCACAAGAAGATTATAAAAATAGAGCTAAGAAAGCATGCTTCAAAATGAGACAGTTATTATTCTCAGATACATATATGTAAAAAAAATACCTTAAAATGTTTGATACCATGATCAAACCAATACTTTTATACTGTGCAGAAATATGGTCTGATAAAATAATTAAACATCAAAAGCTGTATATCTATATAATGTCACCAATGAAACAATTACACATAAAATACTGCATGTACCGACTCAAAGTACCCATTAATTACAGTAGGTATAAAACAAATGATCCAATACTGGTCTACTAAAATAAACAAAATGCCTGGAAATTCTTTGGTATATGAAGCATACAGTCTCGGCTTAGAACTAGACAACTCTGACATCTACAACCGAGTCTCCAGTTTAAAACATAGCATGAAGAAAAATTGCTCACTTACAGAGAACTGGAAACTAACTTTGGCTTTGGAAAGTACTGGGTACTTACACATAGTCAAAAATACCCATCACAGGTCATCAATGATAAAATTAAGGATAAGTGCTCACAGACTACAAAAAGAGACCGGGAGATATAACAACACAGATATATCTGACAAAATTTTTTTATTTTGTGAGAAGAATGCCATAGAGGATGAAGAACATTTTCTGTTAACAATGTGATCTCTACACAGGAAAAAGAAAATTATCAGCAGTTATCACCCCTACATTTAGCAAAAAATAAAGAAAAACAAATTTTAGATAAATACAGATGTGAGAACTGTTTCAAAACCAAAAAAGAAAAACTGAAAACAATAAAGTCAGCTACTTCAAGATAAGGTCATGTACATCATTAGTAAACCAAATATTCACCAACACAAATATGGAAAACAATCCAATTTATTTTTAGTCCCCGTTCGGACGCAGTCCGAAAACGGGGACTTATGTTTTGCCCTGTGTGCGTCCGTGCGTGCGTCCGTCCGTCCGTGATCACCTGTATCTCGAACATGCATGGACCGATTAAGTTCAAACTTCACTCATACATCACACATTATATGGGACATATGCACATGCATTTTTTTCATGATCTGATTAACGATAGCCGAATAGCGGCCATTTTAAGGCCGAAAATGCATTGAAATCGCACATTTTCACCATTCCGGACCCGGATCTCAGTTATGCATGGACGGATTTCATTCGAATTTGGTACATACATTAAACATAATAGGACCTTGATGCACGTCATTTTTTTTTCGGATCAAGTTCGAAATGGCCGACTGGCGGCCATTTTGTTTTAAAGAATTCAGTTCTGGATCCGTATCCGAGACATGTCTGGATTGATCAAGTTCAAACTTCACACACACATGGTACATCATGTCACAAATAGATATGTGCATTTGTTTCATGATCTGCTTAACAATAGTGGAATGATGGCCATTTTAAGGCCGAAAATGCATCAAAATCACGTATTTTCACAATTCCAGAACCGGATCTCAGTCATGCATGGATGGATTTTGTTCAGATTTAGCACAATGTGTTGTACATATGCAGGTGCATTTCGGTCATGATCTGCTTTGAATGTATATGTCACTCAAATATGAACGGAACGGGGACGTGTCATTGACAATGACTTGTTTCATTATATTTGCTACGACACAACAGCATTTTATCGAGGCTCTATGGCTCGAGCCAGCAAAAAAAATCCTGTGTATAACGTTCGGCTTAAGCCAAGTTAGGCTCCAGTAAACCCTCAGAGTTGAACTCCAATAAGGTTGAGCCTTGACATGGACCTGACCATGTACACGCATCAGGGCTCAATTATTGGAGCCCAAATCATGCCCTCAATCGTCTTCTACAAGCAATCTCTCATTTCAATTATGGCGGAGACAAAATCGTTTGTAATTTCACGCAATTTCCAGCTTGACGAAGAGGTATGCGCCCTAATATCTATTTGGCAGAGTAAAGAAATACTGCTTTAGATTGATAGCTCAACGGTAAAATAGCATACGAAATTTGAAAGAACGACTGAACAGATTCAATGGAAATTAAAGAAATTTTTTAAAGACACCAAAGATAAAAATCTTAGTAGGTTTAAATTGTTCGTAGTAGTTTATATATCACAACAAAATGGTAATTTTGTATGACAATAACTTAAGCGAATAGGCTGTGACACATTTTAGCTGCCATGTTAATAGTAATTTGGCATGACAATAACTTAAGCGAATAGGCTGTAACACATTTTAGCTGTTGTGTTTATTCCTGTTTATTTGAGATACTAATACATAAATCATAACACCAGTCCATTGTCTTTTCTACCTCCATGCTCAGAATTGTGACTGTTTCTTTTCTCCCAGCTCAACAGCATCATGCCATGTAAAGAAACAACACAAGTACAACACCAAAATCGTTTTCAGCCATTTTTTTTCTCATACTAATTATTTGAGGGCACTGTTCTGTTCAGCTTTGATCGAACTGAATCAAACTCTGGCAGATCTCGGCTCTAGTTCAGCCCTGACCATGTGAATGCATTGGAAATAATCTCCTGTTAATCGGTGGGAGGAGCAGTAGTTCAACTCTGATACAATGCTGCTGTGTGAACATGGCAATTCTCTACTTTTTGTTTTGTTGTTTTTTATTACTTGTTTTTTAGCTCCGCTGTCGACTTTGTCGAGTGAAGCTTATCATATTACTGATTGTTCGTCGTCGCCCGTAACCCGTCGTCAACTTTCCAATTTCAACTTCTTCTTCGAAAGCGCAAGGCAGAATAATTTCAAATTTGATATGCAAGTACCTTGAATGGTTCTTTCTCAGATTTGTTTATTTCATGTCAAAATCTCAAATTCTCTATTTTTTGTGAATACTTTTGTCATTTTTGGTAAAAAGTGATATTTTCGACTTCTTGTTAAAAACCGCAAGTCTGATTGTTTTTTACTTATAATATGTACTACATGTAGACCTCTCTCAGCTTTGTTCATTTCTTGATATCTTCAATTCTCTAATTTTGGTGAATATTTTTGTAATTTTTGGTAAAAAGTGATATTTTCGACTTCTTGTTAAAAAATACAAGTCTAATTGCTTTGATATTATATATACTACACAGATACTACATGTGGACATCTTTCAGATTTGTCCCGTTGCTTTATATATATATATATATTGTTCATTTTCTGATGATATCTTCAGTTCTTTAATTAAAATGTGCATTGATAACAGCGGAGCTATCTCAGCCGACAGGCTGCTAATTTCTCAGTTAATATTCTATGCAATATGGCTGCCATTTTATTTGGCGAATATCACAGACAATTGTGCTCTCGTATATCAACAACAGTTGATTTGTATCACAATACAATACAAGATGGTTGACTGGCAGTCATAGGGTTAGGGTTACATTTCCAAATCGTAGTGGGATGACAGAATTAAACACAACACAACTCAGCTTATCTGCTCCTGCAATCTGACATAGCTATCCCACAATACACTATATTTTCGGAATTGTGATAAATGTTTTACATTTTGCCAACATAGACATTAGAAACTCACATACATGTATGTTAATTGTTTGGCATTCTAAGGCATTATTTCAGTGTAGTACTTGTACATGTACCTATCAAAAAGAAGCTATATAATGCTGGCATTTCATTTGTATATATTAATGTTCAAGAACAGTGAGGGCTTTGTCATTCTCAATGGCTTGTTTAAATCACAGATATATGTGTATTGCCAATGTTCATACCTTTGTAGATTGGTAGTGGATGGATGGATGAATGTATTGTGTATTATATTTCATGCTTTCTTGTGTACAAGTAATTTGATATTAGCAATATATCATACACATTCACTTTATATGGTCATTCATATTATATTATATTTATTCATGTTTATAGATAACACAGTCCAAGATCAGATGGTTTCTGAGGCATTTATGAGATATTTTGTAGAAACAGTTGGCCATTATAAAATCTACATGAAGATATTCCCAAATGGTAGTGTACATTTCCAAAAGGAAGCATTTGTCAAAGAAGTACCTTCTAAGAGTATTCGGAAATTCCTTGAAGTTTTTATGGAATCTCAGATGTTTTCTGTTTTGATCCATGAAAAAGAGATGGCTAAAATGAAGTCTATTCAAGGTATGTTTGAATAACAATGTCTTATTGGATGTATGTAAATTAGTCTTTACATGGTAGTTCTTTCTCACTTTGTACCAATGTAGCAGTTGTGCATATGCTCAATTAGTGATAGATGTGCATATACACCATATATTTGTATCTTGCATTGTACTGCTTACTTTGCACCAGTTATAGGTATCAGTTGTAGTTGTAAGTATATCACTTATATTGTAAGTATCAGTTGTAAGTATAAGTATCTGTTGTAAGTATCACTTGTAAATATCAGTTGTAAGTATATCAGTTTTATTGTATCAGTTATCAGTTATAAGTATAATAAGTATCAGTTGTAAATATCAGTTATAAATATCAGTTGTAAGTATCAGTGTATCAGTTATAAATATCAGTTGTAGTGGTAAGTATATCAGTTGTAAGTATCAGTTGTAAGTATCAGTTGTAGTTGTAAGTATCACTTGTAAATATCAGTTGTAGTTGTAAGTATGTCAGTTGTATTGTAGGTATCAGTTATCAGTTATAAGTATAAGTAATAAGTATCAGTTGTAAATATCACTTGTAAGTATCAGTGTATCAGTTGTAAGTATCAGTTGTAAGTATCATTTGTAAGTATCATTTGTATCAGTAATAAGTTGTAGTTGTAAGTATCAGTTGTAAGTATCATTTGTAAGTATCAGTTGTATCAGTAATAAGTTGTAGTTGTAAGTATCAGTTGTAGTTGTGTAAGTATCAGTTGTAAGTATCAGTTGTAAGTATCCGTTGTAAGTATCAGTTGTAAGTATCAGTGTATCAGTT